ACCAATGCAAATTCAACAAGCTTGTAGAATGATTCCTATGTTTCATGAAACTACAGCCAAGTGATTTCACTTAATGATCTAACCTGATCAAAAGGAATAATTTAAGCACATCAGAGACTAAATAAATCTAAATGGATGTAAATTTCTTGATCAAACACTAACCACATTGAGACTCTGAACTCAACTGTATGAAAACAATTTATCACTTCACGAGTCGATTGTTGTGGGCTATGAACCCTATTCGAATGAGATGGGTAAGACATTTGTTGATTATGCCAAGCCACCGCCTACGCCGACGTGCCATGCTAGAGAAGCTGAATTAGATTGGAAGAGGGTTATGGGTGACCAGATCAAGACGTGGCAACAGGCAATGAATGTCCTGGACTGTTGGTCTGAGCCATGTGAGGAGATGTAGACTACTTGGTTGGGGTCCCCGTGAGGACAGGAATCAGAGGTTAAGGACTCTCAATGACAGAGCTAAAAATCGGTCTCACTGGCACATATGTATTAACTATTTGATGTCTTCTAAAACTTGAATATTCTCATTAACCTTTATCTCCAAAATTGTTTATTGTCTCGTACAACTTTGTTACTTTTAATGTACTTGTTCTTTGCATACTACTGTGAAGTGCATCAACTTGAACCGAAACACTTTTTTGAGAGGTTCCACACTGATTTTATCCATCTGTATCCATCAGGTTCGGCCGCCATGGGAACTCAAGCCTGGAAGTCTATATTTCGTCTAAAAATTCGTTTCAGAACAATAGTCAGAGATCTCTAGGATCGACAACGTGTTTTGGTCAAATCAACGTTGACTTTTTTTGTTAACCCACTTCAATTTGTATTTAGTCTAGAGGTAGATGATGAGTCAGTACATGTAACACATGGGATTTAGGTACCCAGGTTGGTGAAGGTTTAAAATCTCACTGTTCAACTTGTTTACCTCATTCGATAATTTATAATACAAAGAAAACAGTGATCGACTAATTCATGCTTTTTCAAATCATCACACACTTCCCAATCACAAAGACAGATAACCCTGCTGCATGGTACACCCGATCCTTGTTAGGCAACGGGATATCTTGTCGATACTTCATATTCACAGAAAACCGACTGTACCTCCGAAGCTACTACACAATATATTTCAATTATTTATCCACACACATACAAACACATATTTACATGGTTGGCAAGTTGCATTACACGCAAACCGATTGCTGCTAACCCTAAAAATGCTTTACACTGGAGAGTTCTCTAAGTGTTGTTCAGTTTACTGGGTGAGTGACTTACAGACGCTTAAACACATACACACACACAAATCTAAACTTATCAGTACTTCTTTCCAACAACAAACGCATAATTCACGAGTAACAAACATGGTGCTTGAGTATACACACTCAAAAACGTAAGTCATAGCTAGCAGACATCCGTACATGCACGCACGTATGCACGATCATATGCAGTTTGTTTATAATGCTAACAATGATTAAAACGCTACATGATATCGATAAAAATCTAGGCTGATTCAGTAATGGGGATTGTAATTACCTTTACACAACCTCAGTTACAGCGATGCCAACCAACGTGAAATAGAAACTTACATACAACCACACACACACACAGAATATACAAATAACTTTCACATTTTGCATTCCATTATTACAGCCGCACAAACAATACACGTGTGTGTGTGTGTATTTGTGCATATGAAAGCGACACGTAATTAGTAATAATATATAATTAATAGTTGTATCGCCGTCACAGAAAAAACCTAAACGATAGTATTAGATGAGTTAGTTGTTGAAGTGATAAATATTGGGTACGAATCTCAGTGGGGACAATATTACTCACTGGGGTGCAGGTACCCCCCCCCCAGCTGATGAGCTCTAAATGGGATGAAACACGTGTCATTGATTCAATTACTAAACACTTCTTATTTGTTTTAAACTCAAATTACCCACAATATTGAAGAATGTACACAGGAACGTATGTCCCAATAGCAAAATCGATCAATTTTGGTCAGATCAACAAAGGAAATTATAAACGATAAGAATTTTTCTCCTACTTGAAACTTCACTTGACAGACGTTTGCAAGAGTCATTAGATGTGATTGTTGAAGTAAAGCAGAAATCGATGAATTACCCCTCCCACTAAGGTTAAAACAAGTTTACTAAGCATATATAGAAACTGAATACCTATATAAGCCCCTTCAATAATGTAACCATATTTAAAGTTTATCTAGACACAAAAGTCAGCCAATTCAATTTGCAAAGCTTTGATTCAAGTCACCCAAAAGATTCTATTTGGAGGTTTGTGGGGCTTCATTAATTGATTTTAGGTTGGAATTCATGAGAAGTCATGATAAGTGAAGCCAACTAAGTCGAATATGAGGACTATTACTCAATGACGCACCATATCGTGAACTGACAGAAGTAGGAAATATGGACCATTGGATTCCAACCCAGTGGCTCAATGGTAACATGCTGACCACTAGACCTGAAGGTCCTGAGTTCGATCCTGGTGGTGTGCACTGTTGACGAGTTCCATATTAAGACGAGACAGCTGTCCAGTGCTCCCAGGTTTTTAATCTCCCTCCAACTGATGTCGATCCATGATGAATTCCAATCAAAAATCATACAAACGAGTTATATGTTGAAAAAACCAACACGTTCCACCTTGTGCAAGGTAGCTTTTGACTCCATAGATAGAGACATACTGTAGTGGTGTTTGACTGTTAAACGGAGTATTATGTCAACCAAGATTTTATACTCGAAATCGCGCAGCTGAGCAAAACATGTGAGAAAATTCGTCATAATAATAATAATAATAATAATAATAATAATAATAATTCACTTTATTCCATATGATGGTGATTACAGTAAACAGCATCCGCCAAGAGATTTTATTCATCACAATTCCTAGTTAGACTTGTTACGAATGTACTAGTAAAAGTACTTTTACGGTACTCATCAACACGTGTAGTGACATCACAGCATGAACAATTTTGAGTTTAGGCGGAAAGTATTTAGCAAGAAATATGAATCTGTCAACTACGTAGTAAGCCTAACGGCTGAAAGAGTTTGAATAAGCTTTGTGCACAACAAATCATGGTCTAAGTCGAAGCACTATGCTAACCAAAGTGGGAGAGTTAATGATACTTCTTGACCGCCCAAACCGTGATAGGAGGAGCAGAGTTCGGACTCGTGATCCGCTAGTTAGAAGTTAACTGGTCAACTGAAAACCTGGAGGCACTGGATAGCTGCTTTACCTTAGTTTAGGATTACACTAGGTAGCGTGCTCTCATGACTCCCGCATAGATCGAGCCTAGGACCACTAAGTTTTGCAGCGAGCACGTTACCACCATTCAACCACTAGATCAGAGTCCAATGGTTCACATTTTCCGAATAGTGTGTCGACTCGCGATATAGTGTCGTCGGTCATTGTCTCCACACTCGACTTGGATGATTCCACAGGTCATGGCTTTACAATAAAACTTCTGGAATTCCACCTGGAAGAATGTCACTGATGAGGATAGTAAACCAGACTTCTGTATGGATTAACTGATTGATTTCGAGGTCATATTCGTCATGGACTGAACATGCTTGCTTTACGTATCTTAATGCCCAATAAACATCTCGTACACAAAACAATGCAGTTCGGAAAGTAAGTAGGATAATAATAATAATAATAATAATAATAATAATAATTTTAATAATAATAATAATAGTCAGTCAGTAACAAAATGTGACCTGGCATCACTATATTACGGTCCGAGTTGCCACATCTCACATCAGCACATCAAGGTAGCAGACAAAAGGAGAAAAGATAAAGTCGGAGCCGGAAAAGCCATAAAGAGATGAAGAGAGGGACAGTTTAAACAATAAGATAAGACGGTTAGGATGAAGATAATATGTAGATGTATCCGCGTCACAGAGATCACCTTTAAGCTACGTCGACTAGTGTCTCCAACCACTGATTTTGACTGTCACACAGACTATGACCAGGCAGTCTAGAATTTCCTACATGGCTCAGACCAACTTAGTGAGACCTCATACACCAGTGCCATGCATTGGTCTGACTTCATTTAACCAATTTTTTCACCTAAACCTACTTCAGATAAGTGACGATGAGGCAAACTGACTAGGCATGCAGTACACAAGTCTTAATCACATAAGCCAATAAACGGACACAACCTTACTAACTGACTTTCTTCTCCCTCCTAAAACTTTACGCCTGACTTCTTATATTACTGAAATGGTAACACTACGACACATGGGCTTTGCTACGAAAGATACAATAGTCAATAACCTGAAGCCTTCTCATATCTTTTAACTTTGACGGCCATATTTCACAGCCATGTAGTAGAACAAAGTAGACTGCATCCCAGTACACTCGGCTATTAGTAGGTAATCGTATATCTCACCAGTGCTATAAATGGTGTGGTTTGACGAAGGCTAAGCGAGCTTTTTGTACCTGTGCAGAGATTTCATCGGTCACTGATGCAACTTCCCAGCTCAGTGAAGTGGTCAACACACTCGCCCCGTTTCTTAAACGCGGTGTTAACATAAACCGATCCTTACACAACAATTTACATTTAGATGGTGAGAATGTTCCATGTAGTATGCGATTGGATGACGAGCGACGGAACAGTAGGTTGAGGTCACATGAAAGGCTCAACAGTGTATCACCCAATTGTTTTAGTCGTCGCCTCTATGATTAGATAGTTAACCCATCTTTCTCCTTTATAGAGGTGGTATGTCACTAGACAGGAAACCTAAGTTCAGGAGTTTCCCTCAATTGATTTTCAACACGCAATACAAGTAACTACTCTATATATAGAAAAGTTGTTACTTATATAATTGTACAACGCCGTAATCTGCTAATCAATACTTCCTGTGGATAGTGAACATTAACAGAGATGAAACTTGGGTTTATGCGAGCTTGTTAAACGGTGAATGAAAATCTTAATCGAAGAGTACACGCAAATGCATAAAACTTACTTGGAGTCGACTGAATTGAATTCATACGAGCCTGTTGTTCTTTCTCCCGACGATCTAGTTCAGCTGCACGAGCTTCAAGTTCAGCCTGCCTACGTTCTAGCGCCAAGATACTTTCATTACCAGCAGTAGCCTTTGTAAACGGTGGATGGACTTCCATAGGTGGAAGCGGTGGTGGTGGAATATCAAAACCATAATCTGTATTCCCACCATCTGGAATTGATTCCTTATCATCAGGTGTTAAAGTTTCATATCCTTCAGAAGAAAAAACAATGCAATCACACACACAAGAACAATAGAGGGTGAATTTAAGGTGTTATATGTAACAGTATGACAGATACAAAAAGTCAACAAAATAGGAGAAAAAAACGTCAGGATTCACTAGATGACGAGCATGAAACAGAAAGTAACATATACACTAAGGAACTGTTAAAGCGGTAACGAAAGAAGCAGCCAGTATACTGGTACCATTAGCATCGACTCTTAACCATATCACATCGAGTTTCTCCTCAATTTCAATCTCTACTATATCGCGGATTACGGTCAGTCAGTGTATTGTTTTTTATACATTTTACATTAGTAGTCAAAACTTATATGGATAAGTGACTTCTGCCATTCTACCTACCTTGTTTTATACTAACCTTGATTCTATCTGTTTCAACGTCATCTGTCAGGGTAATGACACACTGAACTATGGTTTATTTCCAATGCATATAAGACTCCATGCGATAGAGTATCTAAACTTACGCCTTACAAAAAGTGATAACATTATGAAGACAAAGGTGAAAAAAGAAACAGAAGCTGTCAAATGAAAACATCAGTCCAAATTTGAAGATTATCAGGAAATAAGCCAGTGTCAACAATGACATTGGACAACTGAAGTGGAAACTGATGAGAGTAGTGAACAAAAGACTGCCTGATAAAATCAGAGTAAAAAGTCGCACACTAGCGCGTCACCTCAAGTTGCTATAGTAGTATACAAATAACAAATAAACAGTTTTCTAGCTAGAAAACTGACTGGTCAGGACAAGGAACTAAACAAGGAACTGAAACACGTAAAAGAAGCCCTAATAATTAATAATTATCCTCCACAGTTTATGGAGGGATTCCTACGGACACACAAAAAACGAAAAAATAACAGTAACACGAATACCAACAATTACGACAGCACAAGTAGAAACGAGTTCACAGCTTCCATTGTGTTACCCCATAAGGAAAGAAGGTACATCAGAAACTTTACGTATGATTCTCAACAAAGCTGGTATTAGGGTGGGATTCAAACCTACAAACTCACTCACAGATAAGCTTCGTCGGCTGGCTTAAAGACCTGATAGAACCAATTCAGCAAAATTATCTAATCTATCAAATTCAATGTAATGACTGTGAGTTAGGTCAAGTACATAGATCTAACTAGTAAGTCGGGGTTAGTCAGAATAGCCAAACATAGGAATTCAACTAAATATAGAATAACAGACCTGAATATGATCAATAATCTAGAAAAACACTCTCCTATTGCAATGTATACATTAACACACAACCACACAATAGGGTGGAATAAAGCCACTGTAGTGAAGTCCAATATAATTAGGTGGAGAGACAGAGAGTGATTGCTGAATCTTTGTTCATCGAATCTGGTAACATCCAACACATGTAATAGAAGTGACCCAACACCTACCTATACCAGAGATATGGAAAATTTTAACACGTGACGTAACTACAAAAATCAAATGTCGTAAGTTGTGTGATTACATTGATATAACTATGAGGAACGATAATTTATGCTCGAAATTTCGTCATCAAGTAAATAATGCTAGATCGCTGTGTGTCATAAATCAAATAAACAAATCTAATATGGAACTGATTCCTTTTGTCTCGAGGAATCCAACCAGGCAGTCTACATCTCCCCACACGATTTAGCCCAATAGTAAAAAACTTCATCGACTGGCACCCTCTTCCCATCTAGTCCAACTTTCCCTGGCATGCGCAGTACCTGTTGAAGTCATCTCAGTGGACTAAGGTTCACAACCTCATTAATCGACTTGCCTGTCTTCATAATACTCTTCGCCTGAACTCAATATTGCTCATAGGGTGATTCCACCAAACGCAAGCAATGCCACCAAGACAACCATGAACAAAACTATGCAACCACTTTATGTTTACTACTTTTAACGGCAATTTATCACAGTCGTACAACAGGACACAATGGACTTCAGAACAGTATACTCGTCCTTTGACAGAGTCCGATATGTCGCCAGTTCGTGCCACAGATGACTCAATTTGGCAAATGCCAAAAGTGCCTTTTGTATCCGAGCTAAGATTTCGTCAGCAACCAAAAGAGATTATAAAATTCTCTACTTGAAGGATCTAACAAAGGTAAATCATCTGCTTTCAGTAAATACAGAAAGACTCAAGTTAAGAAAGATACTCCACAGAGAAGAAGGAAGCTGTAGATGAGACACCATCAACCGAACAAAGTGGGTAACCAACCACCCAACTAGAGAATTAAACTCAACTGAAGTAAATGTTCTCAAGAAAGGATTAGATGTCAACGTGGCCGTAACTCAACTGAAACCTGAAGATGTTATACTAAGCTTAATCGATAAGACAACTGATGATGAGGTACGTGCACAAATTGTACTAAGGCACCAAACAAAAGGGAGTAAGAACTTGACGAGACCTGAAATGTCACTAAGAAATTTAAGAAGTGACAATAGTATAGTAATTGCCAAATCTGACAAAATCAAACTGACAGTGGTTATCGATAAGGCGGACTACTTTTAAAAAACGTCAATGAATATGTCGAAACAGGAGGGTATGAGAAAATTATTAAAATCTATAGGCACAGCTATGAATAAGATTAAAAAGTCTACAGCTGATCTAATACGTTGAGTGAAGCTATCTCTGGATGAGTCTCAAAGGTTTGATTCAATTTCAAATGTGTATCTGATTCACACATGTGGGTGAAAGAACCGAAAGCCGTCTGAAAAAAACTTTGCGAAAACATACTTAGTCTACAAGTCATATAAGAGAACAATAGTTATTAATAAGACACTTTGCCATAAAATGTAATCACACTTACTTGGGGCAGGATCAGAAAATGGATTGTAATTGTCTAACGAATCCTGATTGACCTTACTCTATAGAACAAAACAATTGCAAGTGAACATATATTATCAAATACGGTGAAACGCAGTTGCAAAAATGTTACAAAAAGAAATAAGTAATGATATAATTCTACCCGGAGCATGTCTTATGTGCTAAGCTACAAGCCAAACTTATTGTTTGATAGCTTATAAGTGTAAACGTGCTCTCAGTGAGGCCTAACTCTGCTATGTCCTACACCTCACGACATCGTGAGTTCTCATTGCTCAGGAGTCTGAAACTTGGATAAATCAGCTGTTCACTCGTTTCAAGATTTTAATGGTTCTCCACTTAACATCACTCTACAATCAAAACTACTTCCAAATCATAAGAAAAAACAAAAAAGATGGTTGAAACGAATAAGAATTTTTCTTTTCGATGGAGTCGATTTTCCGGGAGCATTACAGGGGACCTATTATATTATTTTTGTTGGTGTTGATTCCAAGTGATGGGAATTTGTCGCAGTATTACCCGTATTATCACACCCCTTCCCTTAAAAATATTTTCATCTGTCACGGGTTGGCTGAGACCAACGTTTCAGATAATGGGTCACAATTCACCTCATTCTAGTTTGCCGAGTTTTGTCATGCGAATGCAATCCATCATATACGTACACCACCGTACCATCCGCAATCCAATGGCCAGATAGAAAGATTTGTTGATACCTTTGAGAGACCCTTACTCAAAGTAGAAACAGAGGGAGGGGATACGGATGCCATACAACAATATTTATTCGTTCATCATTTAGCACCAAATGATACCTCAGCAGATCCCAAATCTCTGGTGGAGGATTTAATAGGAAGGAAGCTACGTACCACATACCAAGTAATCGTACCATCAAGTAGTGCACAAACAATGCAAACAGTTGTATTACACGTCAACAAGAGACACCGCATCTACGTACGAGATTACAGACCAGGACATTGTATGCGCATGGAAGGTATTAGGACAGGAAGACGCGGGAGTGTGATGTACGACATAAAGGTGGATCAGGAGAAATGGGCAAGACACAAGAATCAGCTGTCACAGAAAGGCCAATCAACCACAGAATCTAATCATACCACTCAGTATTCTACTGGATATGTTTAAATTACCAACGATCCCGAAACCAATATCAACAAGGAGCTTAAATCCACAAGATGAATGGATCGGAAGGGGTCTCAAACATTACATTTCTAACTGGACCCCCAAAAGCGAAGGTAATAATGTTTTATTTTTTAAAAACGAGGTGTTAGAAGGCTCCAGACTTGCATAAAACGTTGCTTATTAATCTAAACATTTTTTTAATTGTCATCTTCACACCATTTGTTACGGCGAGGCCAGTCGTTTATTTTCTGCCTCCTTTTTCAAAGTAATTCGCCGACTGGTTAATGCTTACTTTGACTATATTAATGTCTCAGTTTCTGGACAATTTCATATCTCATGTGTAGATACACACACGTGTGTTTGGGTGAAATGGTTATTATTCTCGGAGGAATAAATTCTCACATCCAGTTCAGTCTTCATCTAAATTCGTCCCGGGTTGGAGTCGGTGGGTCTTCCATACGAAGTCGGCTGTCAGTTAAGCGAGTATTATATCAGCTTGGCATATATAGAAGTTAGTGAAATAGGTACTAAAAGTGGATACATAGCGATTAGAAAAGTTGGGAATGATGGAACTGCTTGATCGTCTGCGTGTCACTTCACGTACTTCCACTACATCTGGTATTTCGGAGTTTGTATACAATCCAGATGCCAACGTCACCTTTGATACATGGTTCCGACGATATCAAGATCTTCTCAGAGGTGATTTTGCAAATCACGATGACGCATGGAGAGTGAGACTTCCACTCCGAAAGCTTGGTTCAGACGAATTGGATAAATATTGTAATCTTATCCTTTCACATAACTCACACGACAGAACATTTGATGAAATAGTAGGAACATTACGCCAGCAGTTTGAAGAACATCGTTCACTCTTAAATGCCCGCTACTATTGCATGAAGCTGATGACACGCATACCCAGCTTCGGATTGTGAATAGAGCATGCGAACGATTCAAGTTGAAGTCTCTAACAGATGAATAGTTCAAAGTACTCATATTCATTTGTGCTCTTCAGCCCCAAAATTCGCGGATACACACACTCGCTTGCTGAACCATCAGGGACAAGACCGAAAGCTGACACTGAAAGACACTGGTGAGGGATATCAGCGATTAACTAAAATACGCCAAGATACCAGCCTGAAACACAGTGGCGGCCAGAACTCGACAGAAGTGCATGCTATCAAACACTCGGTATCTATGCCCAGTTCTACATCAGTCAATGCAGTGAAAACCACTATCTGCTTGTTGGCATTGTGGAGCCTGGCATTTTGTGAAATCGTGCCCTATCAAACAAGACAAGTGTAGCTATTGCCATAGGGTGGGGCATGAGGACGGGTTTTGTCGCCAACCAAGTTCAGCTAACAGAAAAAGAAGCTTAACTAGACGTCGATTGCCAAAAAGATCCCTCAGCATTACGGCTGCTTTTCACATCCGTAGTTCAGTGCAGGGAAAGTATATAACGCTTAACATAAATGGTCAACCTGCATCCCTCTAGGTGGATACAGATTATGATATCACAGGAATTATGGTGCAGCCTTGGTCGGCCAAAAATAGTGAGAGCGACACAAGCAGCTATCAGCTCATGCGGCGGTAAGGTTTAACTGTTGGGTCAATTACACTGCTGCATTTTATTTGGAAATACTACTTCTGATGGAATTTGTTACATTACTGACGCTAATCTCAGCCTGTTGCTTCTCGACTGGATCGACAGTTTGGCACTTGCCAACCTATCATTGAATATGATGTGCAACAAATTGGAGACACCGTCAGACGTCTCAAAGACCCCTAACGATCTAATTACTGAATATTCGGATATTCTCCAGCCTGATCTCATCATTGTACCACAACCAAAGCCGTCCTACGCCTGAAACAAAACGGGTCACCTGATTTTTATCTTAGAAGACTCGTTACCTGTTACGGAGACAGAATTGAAACAACTTCAGGAATAGGGTGTCATTACTCCAGTAACCCATTCTTCTTTGGCTTCCTCAGTCGTTGTTATAAGGGAAGGTGATGGTTCCATCCGACTTTGTGCTAACTTTTCGACAGGTTTAAATGCTGCTTTGGAGCAACATCATTACCCCCCGTCTGTTCCAGATGATTTAATTGGAGGAAAATATTTCGCAAACACCGACTTGGCGGACGCATACTTAAAAGTCAGTCTCTCTTTAATGTCGTGAACTCCTTAACCATAAACACCCATCGAAGCATTCTTCAGTATAATCGTCTGCTACTCGGCATCAAACTGCCCTCGTTATTTTTCAACAGATCATGGATACTATTCTGGCACGTATTCGAAGTGTTGCTGCAAACCTTGACGATATCATAATAGTTGCCACCTGTTCAACAGAATTACCGAATCGAATACGGTTGGTCCTACAGCGAATCATAGACAACGGCCTTGGACTTACAGAGGAGGAATGTCAATTATACAGTCAGTAAAATATTTGGGGTTCACTTTTGATGCATCTGGTCGACTTCCCGACCCAGAAAACATGCGCGTCACACAACAGATGTCGCGACGCTCCGATCATTTCTTACTCTCATTAGTTACTATTCAGCGTTCGTGTCCTCTCCACATGATATACGGGAATGGTCGATACATTTCCTACGTAAGAAAGTCGTATGGTCTTGGTCAAGAGGATGTGACACTGCTACGGAACTAGCCAAGTCCACTCTCAGCTCTGACCTCCTGTTAACACATCACGGCCCATAGCTACCAATCGTCGTTGCCCCAGACGCTTCCACCGCTGGTGTTGGGGCCGTCCTGTTGCACGAACATCCGGACGGTTCACATAAACCTGCTATGCATGCATTTCGATCTCTTACTTCAGCGGAAAAACGATACTTACAGATAGAGAAGAGGCACTTGCCTTAGTTTTCGCGGTCACACGCTCTCATAAGATGTATGGACGGAAATTCACCTTGTTCACCTATCACAAGCCCTGTCTCTCAATCCCTGGATCTAAACGCGGTGTTCCAGCTTAGTCTACCAATACACTACAGCGGTAGCATTATTGGGCTACGATTTCGATATTAAATATAGCTGAACAGAAGACTTTGGACATTCAGATGCAATTTCAAGGGTTATAAGTGAGTAATCCTAAACCCAACAAAGACACAGTGACCGCAATAGTATCCATAAACGATTATACAGACCGCCTAAAGCATTCTGCAGTCCGCATGCTTCCCGTCACGTCAGCTCAAGTTGAAAATGAACCCCACAAGGACCATATCACACAGGAAGTCACGCATTATGTCCAGATGGAATGGCCACAGAAATCGTTTGCCTGTGACCTGAAACAAATGTTCTGCTGAAGAGAATCCCTTTGTGTCGTCAGAAACTGCCTCATGTTTGAAAAACGAGTAGTAGTCCCCCAGTCTCTTAGCGGGGAAGTCCTAAAGCAGTTTCACACTTGTCATCCGAAAATAGAACGTATGAAAGCCATCCCCAGAAGCTATACTTATTTGCCTAATATAGGTTCTGATAAAGCCGAATTTGTTGGTCGCTGCGCATCGTATCAGAAGGCCGCTAAGAATCTCCCACGTTTTCCACCAAAGAGTTGGCCACTGCAAGCTCGACCTTGGGCTAGAATCCCTATCGATTTACCGCGTCTAATACAGGGAACCTATTAGCTTGTTCTTGTTGCTGTTTATTCCAAGTGATGGGAATTCGTCGCAGTATTACCCGTATTATCACACCCCTTCCCTTAAAAATATTTTCATCTGTCATGGGTTGGCTGAGACCAACGTTTCAGATAATGGGTCACAATTCACCTCATTCTAGTTTGCCGAGTTTCCCCATGCCGGTGCAACCCGTCATTGCACTTTCTTCCCGAAGGACTGAGATTGATTTACATTGATCTCTTCACATCCCTATATATAACTTAATTGAAGATATAAAGACACCTCGAAAAATGTGCGAGATATTTCGGCTACTCTCGAGACAATTATGAGTATACAAAGTAAGCTCAAATACCTACTAACATCACCACAATCCAAAAACAAACAGTGGGGTTGACTACTTTGTGAAAACGAATGAATTATACTCTCATACTGAGATGCTGCAGGAAAAAGCTTCAAAATTGTCACTGTAAAACCTTACTGACACTCGAAATGTTTCGTACTCACAATCGCTGTCTCTTACTAATCTCAGTAGCTACCTTCACATAGAGGTGCATCGGTGAATCACCTGCGAAAAAGGGTTATCTACGATGTTTTTGATATTACCTATTTTAGCAATATGCATAGTACCCTCTTAAACCAAAACGCTATAAATAAATCAGTCAAATTCAGCTAAAGGTCAAATGTCCTACACAGCGGTACACTGCAACTAGCAGTGAAACAAGCCTGTTGAACGCAGAGAATACCAGAAGGCTGTCATCGATTAACCCGACGAGCATTGTTAGCTGAAGTAGGATTACTTTGGGCGAAACGTGAAAGCTAAACCTAAACACTCTCTCAACCCATGGTCTTTGACTATCCGTCGGTGCCGTGTAAAAATGTGGTGAATTCCAAGTATGCATCCATGTGATAACCGAAAGTGATGATTGAAAACTCTAGGATGTAGGGATCAGAAGCTACAACAGTGGCTCAGTGGCATTTCTTAGTCGTCATATTACGTTAGACCATTAGTTTGGCTTTCTTTGACTTCTTTATGGCTTTGAGTAATGGTATTTTAACTTAAGACTTTACTGGTCGTCTTCCTTTTTTGTGCTCTATCTTGTTTACTAATTTGGTGAATGCCACAAAGAAATATCTCTTTGTATGCTGGTTATATTAATTTGTCCAGCATACCAACTAAGGCCTCCTAACGTCATGAAGTAAGCAAACTTAGATGTTTCACAAGCTTATGCTATACTACCCGTCACCAACAGATATGTAATCACAAACTATTCTGGACGAGGCATAACCGCATTCCTATACAAGTTATAAGATCTCATATTGGTAAGTGAAGTGGGAATTCGACAAGATGGAACAGTATGATGCCGATGATATCAACTTTTAAAGTCCCACAAAAAAATTGAGCATAAATACATCGGAAAAGGATTTTCTGAGGTTAAGATGAAAACGAGATGTGGACGCATCTGCACCACTGCGGTAGATTCTAAGTCATACCACTTAGTGTCTCCACCAACTGCAGTTGCCTGGTGGACTTTAACTAAGGGACCTGAACTTTCATACTGTCCAGGCTAACAATCAGATTACATGAATCAGTACTGAATCAGTCGGAATAATCTTGGCTTAGTCTTGATTCTAGCCAGGCACATTCCTAAGAGAATTCCTTTATAGTCTAGGTGAACAACTAGACATAAAACTCTAGACAAACCAATAAAGCGGTGTGATAAGATAAGCAAAAAATGACAACCGCATTCATTAATTTAGCGCCAGAAGGTCCCTAACATAACCTTCATTATTTCACTACCCTAAACCTTTCAGCTAAATAGATGAACTGATTCTAGATTCCTCTCTACGTTTAACTGTTCGTTTTACCCCTGATGCATCAAAAACCAGAATGATCCAACCTCCAGGGACTAGACAATCATATAGGTGATATTTAAATACTCTGGCAACTATATCAGAAATATAACGGAAATCAGCAAAAAAATCTTTGGTTAGACTATGATTTTCGTATTATCCCTGACCGACCCTAGTTAAACCAGTAGTTCATAGTCACCGTACCTCGGTGATACCTGGACCTACATGAAACCTCCATCCAAAATAATGCATACCTCGAAACAGACCAGTAGCTTTTTAATTATATTCATTCAGTTGAACTTTGACGATTGTCATCAATTCAGCGTAGTACTTTAATAGTTATCTGAATCATGGGTAAATACCAAACTTATAACTGTACCTTGGTCTTTATTTGATTGAAATTTAAGCCATTATTCCTAGCGTGAGAAGCAATTTAGTCAATGGCATTAACTCGTTGTGGGTGGATATGCCAAACAGTTTTGTAGCAGATGATTACCTAGTCAGGGATTCCTGATCATACGAAATCTCGTAAAACGCTGTAGCATAGTCTTTTTTCTAAGCGAAATTTTGTCAATAATGGGGACTTAGAGTTAGTAATCCCGTCTCACAGAAGCATTGGCCACTTGGCCGGGCCCGTAGGGAAGTCAGAAATTACTCAACAAAGACATCCAGTGAGATAGCTCAAGGTTAGTTATTGATGTGACTTTACTGGCTATTTGCCATCATTGAGATTTAAGACAGCTATGGGAACTATTGTTCACCCTATTCTCGCTCACATACCTCATTTCGTCTTCTCCAGGATCACAGTGCCCCTTTACTTTCCTATGTACTGCTTGGAAACAATGCAATTTTGCGCAAGGTTCTACGCTGAGCCGCTTTTCTATGTCTAAAACTACCCTCATATGCTAGAACAAATCAGTAGGATTGTAAACCTTCATTCATAAACATGTACACAACTGAACCAATTTAGCTGATTCCACAGTCTGTAAAACCGAAGACTTGACTTTGTTCCGCATGCCAAAAAAAGACGATTAATGTTGACACAAGGGGACTTATTATTCGTTCCTAACCTTCATGCAAAAATGTTGCGAATTTGTACTCTACAACATACCTATGATTGAAAACTACGAACAACCAAGGCAATTCACTTAAGGAATCCAAGATCACCATTTTTCAGCATTCCGGAGAAAGATGAATAACTTTGAAGCTGGAGAGGTTCTGAAGAATTCTTCAGTGTACTTAAGTACACAGAACTCAAGGACTCTGAGTAAAATGCGCATGAAATATTGTTTCCTTAGAGAGTGCAAACGTACCAGCCCTATATTTAAAGTGTTGACGGTATGCAGATATACAATTAGAAATACATATATATACTTTTGTAAGATATAAATAAAGAACACACCATCTGAAAACACAATCGTCTGTCCCGCGTTTGCGTCCAATGTACAATACCCCCAACTGATTCAGATTGTTCAAATGGTTAATTTGAAGGAAAATAGAAAAAGCTTTCGCTTAACTGGTTTGCTTGTCTAAAATCTGTGGACCAATACTTCTTTCGATTGTTAACCTGTTTACAAGTAAAGAAAGAGGAAAAAGTGGCGGTTAAAATGTGAAAATTCAATTAGTTCTGGGCAGGTCACAACCACGTGTCAAGTAAGTATCTAGTTGGCGTTTAAAGAATTCAGACGAGGTAGCCTGGATCACATCCGCAGGAAGAGCATTCCAAGGTTTAACAACTCCTAGGGAACAGAAGTTGTGCCTGATATCTAACCTGCTATGTTCCAGGCCTAGTTTATGTGTGTCCTCGAAGATTAGTGCTACAGCTAAGATGTAATTAGTGACGGGGTATGTGGCAGTGGCTCTCAGAAACACTCCTAGGACAGCACTGTTCTAAAGGAAACGCGGCTAAATCACGCTGTGAAAATGGTTAAAATGCGACATATTATTCAATTTTTGATCAATAGTCTCAGCGATATATCAGTCTTGGCCCTACACATAAGCTTCCTTATAAGCTATCTGTGATCATCAAAATGCGGTACACGATTGGATGGCCATTTAGCATAGTGTGGTTGATGAAAATGTATGGGTAAGTTATCCCCCTTCGAAGTCGTAATGTATGTCGTAAGTAATACGGAATTCCGCCTGTATTACATCCACTTACGCCAACACTAGCGTATAGAGATTACGATGAAACAGTGTTCTGGGTGGAAAGGGCGTTCCAATGAAGTACCATCCCACGTGGGATGTCTTATGCTCCTTTTGTGCGGCTACGTTAGTTGCATTTCGGTACTAATGCAAGTTTTTTGTCCGTGGTGAATAAGTATTTATAAAGAGGGGTGTTCATGGAAAGGTCCAGTCCAGCTAGGTGGCGCTTACTTATACGAACGTAAAACGGGTGTCCGTGCAGCGCACTCATTGTATGTAAGTGGTGTTTATTTAATTGGACAGTATAGTGGAAATTTTGAAGCAGATAGGACGAATTTGTTGTAGAAAGTAACGCTATGCCTCCAGGGATACTCGGGGAAAATGTTTCAATTTGCCTACACTTCTCCCAGAGTTTGCCTGAATCTCCATAATTGCCCGGGCGTTTCTTGTTTTGTCCCAAGATCGTGCGTTCCTCACCTCATATATTCAGGAATTTCAGAATTCTAGATCTACTAACCCTTACATTCCTATGTATTACAATTTCCCTTTCGAGTGGAGGCTCTTGAGTCTATTTCGGAAATACCGAAAGACGTCCAGACGCATCGTGTTGTTTCGGCAAGTCTTTAAGTGTCATACCTTATGCGAACGAAGGTTTATGAATCTCCTATAAAGACTGATGGCATAAGCAAGTGATAGAAGTAACTGCGCATAGCAATGTTGACGGTAGCGAGAATAATTAGTTTATACCAATCATAATTGCTGGCTTGTTGGTCATGATAAGAGCCCCATAGCCGCATGCACTTCATTATTCAGACTGCTGTCAGGAAACTTCTTTCTTTCCTTCAGTTTGCGTGTACCAACTTGAAGGTCCCCTAGGTGGCCTCGGGTAACTACGTCTGATTCATGGTGTACTCCTGTCCCCATTATTTCGCTATCCTTTCGGGAGGGTAAACTGATTGGTTTTTAAAATGTCCTGTGTTCCCATAGGATAGGTATTTCATCAGGCTCACGGTAGCGTTTGTGACAATGGTATTGGTGCTGATACTACCCTAGCTTAAACCTCGCTTTAAGTCCCACTGCGCAACTATGTGGGATTTTTCCTGACCTCAAAGAAGTACATTTAAGCGGGACTGAATGCTCATAACTGGATAATTTTCGCTTCATTTTTACAGATGACCCAAGTGACATAATGCTGCGAGGGATGAAGGGGACGTATGGAGTTCATCTGTGAAATGTTCTCGGGATTCCCGCCTCCAAGAAAGCCGATAGACATAGACTTCAACACTCAGATATCCAGCCACTTCGCCTGTGGCAGACGCAGCATGTGAATGTCGTCTGCGCATCATCAACCATTCATATGATCACCCAATAAGTTCCTATAGTCGAGTATGCAAGTCTATATTTTCGGTCTCATGAGCAGTCCTAGGCTGGCTAAGGAATTATTCCGTTACTGCGTTCACCGCTTAGTTCCATCCCTAGTCGTCCCTAGCTGCCTAATATGCGTTAACAGCAGATAGCTGTGACTTTCCGACTTACAAGCTACGGGAATATAACAGTCCACCTTTCCGCTGATCAGATTGGCAAGATTCCAATAGTGCACAACCGTTAAATGTAATCCGAAATTCCGAGCAGTTTTGTAAGGTCCCTGTAACTAAGATTCCACGGAAGGAATTAGGAGTTCATTCGTCATAAATGCAAGGTATATTTCAATATACATTCAGCGAGCAACAAACAGACAATTGTGGGGAATAAAGTTAACATTTTCCGTGTTTCGAGTCTTCCGGCTGTAATTAGAAGAGTTAGGGACCTGTAAAGAAGGGGAAAACAAGGTCAGATAAGTGATGCACGGTAAGGCTGAAAAAGTTGCAGGTCGTTAGCGCTGCCACTACTCACCTTCTTTATGTCCTTGGGCTAAGGCCCATTCGTAGCCAGCGGGTAGTAAGTAATGCTCGTTCAGTTGTCAAAATAAAAGTAAATGTCTTCCGTGGCCTCTTACGCTTCTGAACACTTCGTCTAGTTGTGATGCCGCCGCAGCATATATTTTAAGCAATTGCATACTCATAAATACGGAGGATATGGCCTGCGCCTCACCACTCCACATATGTTGTAAACTAACCTATGAGTTAGGCTAACAAACCGCCTGCTACCACCGCGTAGTGAGCACTCAGGTGAGCGGTTCACATATGTTCCTAAGGAAGCCGACTCGTATCGGGTGCATATTCTAGGTGGATGATAAAAACTGAAGGATTAGTCTGAAAAACTGCCACGCTGCTTTATACTTTGAGTTTTAACCGGGAGGTTCAAGTATGATAACCAGACTGAGAGTGTGCATGATAAGATTATACGCTTCACGTTTTCTCGCCTTCTACAGGAGTTGTACACACATGAACTGTACACAATCGCATAGAAGTTTGTCTGTAAGTGTGCTGTACGGCCGATATTTCTTTTTACTCGCAGTGCGTTATAAATGTTCGCGTTTTTGATGTATAACCCAACTATTCTTCGAATAAATTCAACGTCCGAATAAAGTTATCCTTTGAAGCCTGCCTGGACAGTCCAAAAAGCGGGCTTGTCCCTTACAAAGCTGGCAGTTGCGACCGAATGGTCAAAGGAAAACAAGTCCGTATAACGGAAATTACCCCCACCTGTCCAAAGTTGGTGGTACTACGGGTTACACCTATATGTAAAACCTGGCCAGACTTTCCAAGCAATTCCACTTGCCACTACAAACAAACAACCTTTGTTAAAAACCTTGTAAGCTGCATCCCTACAATGAAACTCGGGCTGACCATTGTTCCTAAATGAGCAGCACACCGCGTTTTCCCTTAATGATCTGCGAAAACCGTTAATGCCTACCGCAACTTACATTCACTCATAACAATACGCAAATTACACACTTCACTCTAAGCTATCTTCTTGTCGAAATTTAGTTCCGTTCAGCCTACCACTTTTGTAATACCTGCCAGCATTTATACGATAGACCCTACATTTTCTTCACAATCAGAGAGTCTCCTGAAGTATTGATCTGATTGAACAAACGTCTTATCCCACATATGGTCTTGCATCGTTCTCACACTAGGCAGCACAAATTGGCCCTCAGTGTACTTCAGTCAAAATCCTGATGACCACCCAGGTAACCGAAAGCTGATGGAACAGAAGTGTGCTACTCAATCTTGTTGGGCGTAATCCAACTCTCTGAGACTTCCGTCGGCATATGAACGTGCATTTAAATGCCACAGATCAGTAACTAATCTCGGCTTAGTGACCACTTAATGCGTGTTTTTGGCCCACACGCAACTGATTTATACTGCTTCACACACCACTTGCGACTCCACTGAAACCCTTCTAACCTCTTAAAACGGCTGTGAAGTGTTCGCGGCGGCATATAAAGCCCAAGAGCAGATAACCTAGGGTTTGACGAACTTCAACGTTGATGCTGACCTCCATAATTTCATCGGACCGGCTAGGCTGAAGGCGCAAGGCCAAGCATCCACGCCATTTCGCACGTTTTCGTGTTACATTACGCTGCTCGTATTCGATACGCTAGTCAGCTATTAGGAACGTGTCCGTATTTTGGTGCAACCTCTCAGATGTACTATTCCTATCTGACTACGCTGTTGTGTCCTTCCTTGGCCTCGCGTTCGCGAGCATGTTACAAGTATGAACAGTTGGTGTTTGGCCTCTGGGTTACTCGAGTCTGCCCAAGGACAACTTCCGGATGTCTACAGACACCGGCACTTCGCACCCCTGACTGACAAACAGACACGAGACGTTGATCGACCAGCCTACTACATGCTTCTAAGAACGGACAAACCCTGTTACCATGTTCACGGTCACCACAACACGCTTCAGATAACATGAGCAACATAAAATGGCAATGGTGAACGCACTCAAAACACACTAAGTGTTGCCCGCATAATATGTATCAGTTAGCTTAAAACACATCAGGATGATCTAAAGCAGTCAGAAAAGTTTAAATGATATTTTCGATCAAAAACGGATGTGAAAGGGTGTTGAAATCGACGTCACAGCACTAACCAGTCAACTCGCTATTTGACACTTGTCGAAAGCGGAATAATTTCAGAAAGAAACTGGATAACTCGATACACCCGGGACTCCTTATAGCTCACAACAAGGGTAATATCCAAAAATATCCTTCAAAACGCCTTTTACGAACAAGAAACAATCAACCAGTGTTGTGCAGAACCCACTAACTATCACGTAGCCAATATGATCGACCTAATTCAGACACCCCAAGGT